TCTATATGATACCAATCCTTCTTCCACTGTTTGCTTTAGTTTCAGTGCTTGTATCATAGAAGGGTCCACGTTGTAAAAGTAGTCAAAAGCAGTCTTGAATAACTGGAACTCTTCTGCTCACTTCTCTTTCTTACTAATAAATGTCCTTTGTGGCACTTTTTTCCATAACAGGGCACTTTCGTGTGCATTAAATATCTGCTTGGGCAGATATCCGTTCTCCTCATTGATCTTCTTAATGGCATTTGTGAACTCATCTGCTGCCTTTGGGTCAACAGAAGCTGCTTCTCCTGTTATCTTGACTTTTTTCTTTTTTCTTTTAAGAGACAGGGTTTCCCTGTGTCACTCGGGCTAGAGTGCAGTGGCACAATCATAGCTCATTGCAACCTCAAACTCCTGGGCTCAAAGGATCCTTCTGCCTCAGCCTCCCAAGTAGCTAGGACTACAGGCACACCCTACACACTCAGCTATTTTTAAAACAGTTTTTTGTAGAGACCAGGGTCTTGCTATATTGTCCAGGCTGGCCTCAAGCAATCCTCCTGCCTTGGCCTCCCAAGTTGCTGGGATTATAGGTGGGAGTCATTGTGCCTGGGCCTGGCTATCCTGACATTTTTTAAAGCCAAATCCTTCTAAAATTATCAAGCCATCCTTTGCTGACATTAAATCTCCGGCTTTCAATCTTTCACCTTCCTTTTGCTTTGAATTGTCACATAATTACTACCTTTTCTCCAATCATTAGTGTCTATAGGTATATGCCTTTCTTATAGCAATCTTGCACTCACATAAAAGCTGCTTCTTCAATATAAGATAAAAAGATATTTTGCAAAAAGTGCAAGGTTTTTGTGCCTGCTGGTGTAGCTGTAGCCACAGCTTCACAAGTTTCTTTTTTTACAATGGTCCTTATGCTGGATTCATTTATCTTGAAATGGCAGGCAACCGCAGCTGCAGACCTTAACCTATAGTACATACCAAGCAATTCAACTTTCTTTTGTAATGTCATGACTTTTCTCTGCTTCTTGGAAGTACTTCCAGCATCATTGTGGCTCTCTGTATGGGTCCCAGTAAATATGATTGAGAGATCATTTTTTACCCCAATTTACTGGAAAGGTGAACTGCTCACACAGAGATGATTCATGTCACATGGCATTTTAAGTAGATACTACATTTGAGCCTAACTCGGTAGCAACAGGAGGTGGCTACAAAATTATTACAGTAGTACAGTATGTACTACAGTTAATTTTATGCAGTTATAACTTAACATAGCATCTTTACTTTTGTTTACATTTCTCGACTTAGAATGTCACCATGTATGGTCTGTGTTTGTGTCCATGCTTTTTTTTTTAATATTAAACTGGTAAGAACAGATACTATACTTGATCTTAGCCAAAAGGCAGAGAAGCAATGTAAGATTTGATAAAAATTGTTTTTTTCTAATTAATTAATTAAAAAAGAATTTTCCCATTATAAGCCAGTTATCCTTGTGGTAACTTTTCTGACACCT